TGAAATTGCAAAATTCACTGAGGATATGAAATTGTAGCTATGAAGTCTTTCCAAGTGAGTTTATATATGATGCTAATGTTGAATCATTAATAGTAAATGCAAACACTGTTAGCATCAAGTTTTTTTAATTATATTTCAGAAGAAACTGTTATTATTTTTGCTGACTTTTTTATTGAATTTATTCTGAATCATCCAAGGCAAATCAAAAGCAGTATAAATTCTTCAGCATCTGCATACTTCCATTTTAAAAAATGGCTTGCCGTTGATTCTTTATATAATACAAAAATATCCAGAAGTTTACCAACACATTTGGCATAAAGTACTTCTATTTCCATAAATACTCAAAATGTTTTCTTAAATTAAGATAAAACATTTTGGTGAATCACTAATCATTCTCAGGCTTTTGCTGTTGCTTGTTTTTTAAAATATTGTTTTGTTTTATCTTACCTTTAAACTGTAACCACAGCATCTGAAGATTCTTTAAATAAAAGTTAGTGGTAAGAAATGTAGGCAATGGAGAGACAGTCTAGCCACGGAGCTCTAGCTGTGACCTGAGGCACTCAATGCAGCTACAAAACTTCCCTGGGGACACTGCTCAGGCTTGGGAACAATTGGGTGTCACCGAGGAATCCTTGTGTTTCAGTACTTTGTTCTCCTTTGCTCTGTAGACTTAAAATCCACAGTTCTCATCTTGAAAAGAATAAGAGACAGTTTATTCTGAAGTCATTATGAGCAACCATGGTCCAGGAACACAGATTTACCTAAATTCCTGTTACCCTAATTCCATGTTTTAAAGAACAAACAAAGTCATAAATGAAAGCAAGTTTAAAATTCATTGGTGAATACACCAGAGAGCTAGATGCAATGAGATAAGGGAACTGCCTAAGATTCTAACTAATAGCTAAATTAATAGCTTCTAAAAGGCTTTTATTTACTACCATGAGGCATTAGTTCAGATACAGAGTGGGACAAGGAATGGCTGTTGCAGAAGTTAAAACTATGCCCAAGATAAGTAATTAGCCTCCGAACCTACAAAATTCCAATCTCTTCACAGTGCTTAAAATCCAACTGGTCCACCAGTCTCTGCAGACACAGAAACTCCTTCCGGGAGGTTTTTGTTCACAGTCAACCACAGTTTCATCTCAGGAATCTTCAACCACACTCACACGGTGAAATGTGTCATTTCACAGATGTAGATGGGTACATTGACCTCTCCATGGTGTCAGAATTTATACATTCATGAACTAGATCCATTTTGTCAGTCATCATTCAGTGATTAGACCTGATTTCAGTTGATAATGTGGCTGCTACAGATCAAGGTTGCTTTTTTTTGTTTGTTTTGTTTTGTTTTTTTGTTTTGTTTTTTCGAGATAGGGTTTCTCTGTATTATTTTGGAGGTTGCTTTATTACAATCTAAACTACTGATAGTCTCTCTCAGAGTATGCATACTGTCAAAGAACGGCTACAAAGGGGTTAAAGCGTTTTCATGGTCCACAGAAGCTCTGTGAACTTCAGAGCAGACTCAGAGCTACTGAAGACAGAGTTATCCAGTGCAGTTCCTGGTCAAAAAGACCTTTGGAGGCTTAGTTTGTAGTGGGCTGTGATTTGGGGGCAGGGCAAGCAGCGGATGGAGGCAGCAAGCCATCATCGTGGTAACTGCCCTGGATAAGGCTCACAAGTGACCAGGTGACAAGTCAGTGTCTCCTATGACTCAGTCTTAGGCACTCCTTTTAGAGCCACAAGAGAGGGATTTTTTCTGGTATGTTCAGTCAATCCACGGGCCTGGCTTTTCTGAGAGTGATCACGCGTTCCCAGTGTACTGCCACGTGTGCGAGGGGGTAATTTTTTTTACTTGTGTGAATAAGTTAGTACCTTGTGCCTTGTGGTGCATTATGGACATGCGGCGATCATTGATTTACACAATGGGGATGTAGAGTCACCCTACCTCTGCATTTGCATTCAAAGTGGAACCAGGGCAAGGCACAGACCAAGGCTACTGTCACACAATATGGAACTTAGGACAAGATGGCAACTTAGAACAGGAAGTAGCTTGGTCGCTAGGCTTGTCTTATTAAAAGAAAAAGCAGGATATGAGATCTGTACGTAGACATCGTGTCTTCATTATTTCATTAATTAGATGCCATAGTTTCACCTATCTTTTTATTTTTATCTGAAAAATACATATGTCTGGGTAAGCACGGGGAAGCTACCTTTTAAAGTGTTTGTTGGAGTTCATCAAACTAACCACATTTTTCAAAGTAGAAAAGAAAGCAAAGCATGTGGGAATATGAAGTGAATTTTAGAGGGGTAACCAAGACTATTTAGACTAAAAGTAAAAATGATGAAGTAAAAGTTGCAGAGGTTTTTGTATTCCATCTATACATTACTATGGATATGCACAGCAAAAATCTTGTAAGTTAGATTGTTGTTGAATTTGAATTTATGTGATCACTTTTCACTGTGAAACTTCATTTAATGTTACTGAAATCAGTCTGTTTTATGATTATCACTGCTTTAAATTCACTCAACAAATAGGCTATTTATCTTCTGTTAAGGTGGCTGGTACCACTATCATTACTCTCCTGGAAGATTTATTGGGCATATTTTATTGTTACTAAGACAGATGCTTTTAAGTATGTAATTTGTGTTGGTCTGTTATATACATGATGTATATGAGTAAAAGCGACAGATAAATAGACAGAAACAGACACAGGCAGACAAACAGCAACACAAACAATAACTTGTTCCAATTTAAGTGTATATAAGGTCTTGTATTTGAGACAGGAAATACTTTAAGAAACAGCTATGAGTGGGCTGGAGAGATGGATCAGTGGTTAATAAGAACATTGACTGCAAAGGACCCAGGTTCAGTTCCCAACACCCACATGGTGGCTCAAAACCACCTGTAAGTCTAGTTCCAGGTGATCCATTACCCCCTTCTGGCCTCCACAGGCTCCTGCATGCACATGGTACACATAAACTCACAGTTACATACATATAATATACTCTCTCTTCAGCAAAATATACAAAATATGTAAATACAATTTGAGTTTTAATTGAAAAGATTAAATTTCATTTATATGCTGTTCCCATTCCTCATCAAACTGCTAGAAACCACTTCAACTTTATTGTAATTTCCAATTTAATTTGACATGTTATTTATGGTTAATATTATTATTTATTATCATTATTATTATTATTTTGAACAGTTCTCAATATGTACCCCCAGCTGGCCTGAAGTCCACAATTGTCCAGCCCCATCATCCTGGATACCAGAATTATAAATTTACACCAGCAAACCTGACTTATTTCTCTCCTTTGGATAAGGCTAAGTGCCCTAATTTTTAGTCAGTGAAGGTTGCAGTTTAGACCCACATTACCTGCAAGCAATGTGAGATCTTATAAAAGCACACCCTCAGAATAGCTGCTGTAGGGCAGCTCCTTAAGACCACCTCTGGACTCAAGAAACGCAACCTCTTTTCATAATACCCAACAGGTGTGCATATTATCCTTTGTTTTCCTTCTGCATGGCCCAATTTTTACACAGAGATTTTAATAGAACGAGTTGGTCTCATATCTTTTTAGCTCCAGAATCCTAGATCTGTATCAGTAAGCTTTTAATCACCCCCAGGTAATGGGATGTAACTTCATGTGAAGGTAACTTATCTGTTCTGAGTTTCTTTCCTATTTTTTTCTTTAATAATAAAAGTTGCATTATTGTAAGGACACAAATGAAAACACCACACAGCTAGATTAAGGTGCCACTCAAACACTGAATTTATCCTGCCCCCACAGCCCCTCATCTCTTTGGGGGTGGGTGTTGAGGCAGGGTTTCTCTGTGTCACCCTGGCCATCCTGGAACTCACTCTATAGGTCATGCCAGCCTCAAACTCAGGATTCATCTGCCTCTAGAGTGTTGGGATTAAAGGCATGTACCACAACCACCCAGCTTGAATGTCTTAATACTAGCAACATTGAACTTCATAGTCAAATACAGGTTGAGAAGGGGTTAAAAAAATCTGCCTCGCTGGGTGGTGGTGGCACATGCCTTTAATCCCAGCACAGAGATCCGCAGGGGCATATACATATGCCTCTTTCATTGACCTACCCTCTGTTTCACTAAATACCTACATCCTTTTACAAACCAAATTGGCCTGCTGGTGTTTTGATCAAGCATCTTTCAGATATTTTTCAAGTACTGCCGAAGGAAGCAGTTCAAAGAAAAGATGGATGGAAGGAAGAAAGAAAAGAGAGGGAAGGGAAGAAATAAAGATCAGAGAGAAATAACTTGGTAATCTGGAGAGAAAGGTGCACTGTGGTAGTCTATTATCGTAAGTCAGTAAGTGACTGAGGTGTGATTTCCAGTGCTCAAGGGCAAAGCCAGGCATGAACAGAGATGATTAATGGGACACATCATTGTCATTTTGCAAAGTGGGTTGGGACACTGGGCACACCTTTTCCATACATGATTCTATCCAAATAATCACGGTGTAAAGAGGGGAAGTGAAAACTGGAACAACTGGATGAAGAATCGTCCTGGAATATTTGAAGATGCGTCCTTATTTATGAGCAGTTCTGGAAAGGAAAGCTGGGGGATGTCAGACCTTCAATTTGCAGGTCCAACCAAGATGAATTAGGGTTGGCTAATTATTAGCATTGGCTGGCTATCAGTTATCAGCATACTGCAGTAGACTTGGCATTCTCACGAGCATCCTACAGGGACACACTATGCCCCTTGTCAGTGAGCAAATGCAGTGTGATCTTGGACAAAGTATATTACTCTACTGCCGATCCATTGATGAAGCTTGAGGATTCATTTTCTGCATCTGAATCACATTCTCCGCTCTTGTTTTACTGGAGGAGAAATCACAATGGTTTTGTCGATTTTGTTTGTGTTGTAAAGGTCACCATGCTTCTGATAAGGTATTCTTTGTAATGAGGTGAGTGGTTAGAAAAGACCAATGATGAGATCTCTAATCATATGACTGTCGTTTCCTTAGGAAGCTCATTGAGACTCACCTGAAGACCATCCCCAGTCTGGCGTTTTCAAATCTGCCCAATATTTCCAGGATGTAAGTAATTATTTTAATATACAGAGAACTTTGCTGTTGTGAAATACTTTCTAAATATCCTCTGTAAAAAAAAAGCAATTTCTATTGTACTTCCATAAGTCAATGACATCTGTATTTTTAATGTATTTGAAATTTTTATTTATATACTATTTACCTGCTTAGTTACATCTCTATTTTTGATCCATGCAGGCCCTTTTAAATCTAATGCAAATGTCAATTCATTTGGTCACATCAAATTCACCACTTTTATGTATTTTACTATATCCTAGGATGTGACTTTAGCAGAGAATCCTCAGACATTTATATGTCTCTCTCTTACCCATCCATCCTAGATTTTTGTTGATTCCCTTCCACCACTAGTACAATGCCAACATTTACATTTTGTCCCAAATGCAGCCAGTCATTTCAGACTTCTCTCACTTAAAAATGAATTAAAAATAATTCTACATCTTAAAAACAGAGATGTGGTCTGCAGAAGGATAAGAAAAGGAACATGCACAGTAGGCTGACAATCACTATGTGTGCAGATTTATACCCATTAATGATTAACTCTGAGTCACCAAGAATCCCCGGTATGCATTAGGGGAAGAAATAAAAGTGCTTTCTCCTTAAAATCATTTAACTAAGAACAAGTCCACATTTGAATTTTCTCCTTCACACCCCATGTCTGCCATCCTATGTTGTCTGTTGCTTGGATCTGAATCTGTGCCTGCTTGGAGGCTACTTTAATCTGTCCCTGTGTCTTTGTCTTCCATCTGTGTGCATCTGTGTGTTCTGTTGTGTGGCTGTGTATATCTGTCTGTGTGTCCGTGTGTCTCTCTCCTCTCACAAAGCAGTCTGCTCTGTATTTATTGAACAGAATAGAAATCATCAACAGGAATGGAGCACTCTACAGAAATCTTGAATGTGGTTTTATAAGGGTCAACACTAACTCAACCGATCCTAGCTGACCCAAACAACAGTTAAAAACACATTGCTTATCAGCCAATATCCACAAATGGATGCTTTGGACTTCTAGGGTAGATTTTAGGAAGTTGCTTTCAACTTTGGTAATCTGCTATTTTCAGCAAATAATGCACATGTGTAATTCTGGGTTGGGGCATAGAGAAGGCCATAATTTAAGATTACTTCTATGGATTATCTTGGGTTGCAAAAGTTAACTACTTGGAAAATCCAAGGCAAGGTAAGGTTGGTTGTTGCATTGTTCTCTAAAAGCAGGTGTAACAGGCTGAAGACACAGTACGCTAGCGGTCTGTGATCTCAAGTTGTATTATCACCTTTGGCTGTGATGTCCAACAACAGTTCCAGTGTCTTAAGATGTAGGAGATACTTTTGGAATTTTGCATTGCTATAATCTGCACATGAAATGAGTGAGGGATTTGTCCCAGTTAGTGGCAGTTCAAGTTAACTCAAGCACACCCAATAACACCAGGAGCGACCTAGACAGTTCATAGACCAATGTATTTCATGTATGGCATGTGTTGGACATCTGTTGCATCATTTCAGTGATTTTCAGCCAGGATCAACTCTGACATTTGACTTTGCCAAACTGCAGAGGAGAATGCTACTGGCCTCTAGAAGGTGGAGGTAAAGGATGTGGGAGCCATCTTCCCCTGCCCTGTAAGGTCATAGTAAAGAGTTATTGAGGACAAAATGTCAATGGCCCTGAGGCCAAGAGGCCGTTATAATTGAATATGTGGGTAGGTGCTACTCAGTCTTTCTTTTTTGTAGTCTTGCTACACAAATCAAATTAAAACGAGGTTGTACAGATAGCTCAGGTGCTAAGAGCATTCGCTGTTCTTACAGAGTACCCAGGTTCAGTTCCCAGCACCCACGTGGCACTTTGCAACTGCCTATACAGTTCTATGCTATTGGGTGACCACTGTAGGCAAAGGCACATACATACATGCGAACAAACATCATGTACATAAGATAAAAATAAATATTTTAAAATATTTAAAACCAAAGCAATATGATTAATCCTTCCTTAACCCTCTTCTTTTCATACCCTGACTACTGTGCCTCAGTTTCCTTTCCTGGAGTCCCATTTTGTTTTATTTTTGACATGGCTAGTTCTTCTGCATGTATTGTTTTTTTGCTTTGCTCTCTTCTACTGCAGCTATTCAGAAACAAATATTGAAGGTCTTGACTCCCTCCTACAATTCAAGCCCGCATCGAGAATGTCACTCCAAATATTGCCACTCTGATGTCCCATGAGTACTTCAAATTCAGTCATCTAAACTAAGCAGGCTGGCCATCTCCATGTCTTCTCTTTCTAATAGCATTGTCATTCAGTATCTTGTGAGCTGTAAGCCTCAAATTCCCACTTAGTTTCTTCATTTGCCCTCACACTCCACAAACAACTGTGTATTTGGTGTCTCCACTTTGGTACCCCAATAGCTTGTCTAATATTTTGTTCACACCTTCACCCCATGTCTATGGAGGCCTGCTCCAGCCTCAAACTTTCCAGAATGCCCTGAAAGCAGCAGTGGACAATAGTCAGGGAGTCTTCAGTTTCATTCCCACTAAAGTGATAAGTACCGTGATGGGGCCAGTTTCTGAAAACTGTAGGAACTCACTCAAGAGACACATTCCCGAGTAGGAAGAAGGGGCTGAGGAAAGCTAGACAAACAGCACCTCACCTATGCTTCATACTAGCTAGCCAAATGTAGAAGGGAATATCATTATGAAACAGGGGGACGGCTGAGCCTTCTGAGGAATTAAAGTTCACTAGGACTGGAATTTTGGCTGCAGGGGAGACCAACAAATAAACCAAAAAAATAGAAACACAGTTTAAGAAGAAAAAAAAACACCAGAAATGGCCAAGCACAGCATCTTTTGCTCTTGCTGTGTGAAGGAATATCAAGACTTCCATAGAACAAAGCCATTGGATGATGTTAAGCAGTCAAGCAAAGCGCCCACATGTTTACTTCCGTGCTGTGGACACGGGTTAGAACTAGAGTCACAGTGGGAACAGAAGGCTAGTGAAGAGGTTGCTGGAGAGTCCTGGGGGGAGGGGAAGGCAAACTGAGTAGCAGCGATTCACTGGGATTAAACAAATAAATGAGGGAGAGTTTAAAACACAAAAGCGATTGATTTAGAGGTGAGGGAAGTAAGGAAGGATGGTATCTGATTTCTGAGTGGGAGATCTTAATGAGCACATTCATTGAGTTAGAAAAGAAAAATTTTGCTCATTTGCAGTGGAGTGGTAAGTTAGGATTTCTGTTTGGGGAATGTGATATTTGAGGTGTGTGTATATTCTCCAGACATATGACATATACTTTTTTAATTCAGTCAACAAGTATTCACTTTGGCCATGTGCCCTTACTGTTGTAAAATAATATTCAACTGGGAGGAAACTAGTAATGAGCCAAAAACATAATAAAGTAAGATATATACTTATTCAGACAGAAAGAGTGCATACAAGCAGGGGAAAATTCAAGGTATAATAAGGAATATTAGATGTTCTGGGCACATGCAAGCTCAGGGGAGTCTTGTGAGTAGAGACTGAGATTTTTTTTGGAAGTCATAAAAATAGTCTCAAACTGGGTGGTGGTGGTACTTGCCTTTAATCACAGCACTAGGGAGGCAGAGGCAGGTGAATCTCTATGAGTTACAGGCCAGCCTGGAACAGAGCATGTTCCAGGACAGCCAGGGCAACACCAAAAAAAAAAATCCTGTCTCTAAATACAGTCCCAGGTACAAGAGGAACGCTGTCGAATGACAGACGCTAAAGGGTGAAGCAAGAACAATCGTAAGAGCTTGTGGTCCCTGAGGGGGTGGAAGACGATGCCAGCCAAACAGAATTAGGTGATGTAAGAAAAGCCACCTTTTCCACTGTCACGGGAAAGTCACTGGTGGGCAATTCAAGGCATTCCTTTCTCTAGTTTCAACCTTCTCTATAAGAAGTTTATCTACTAAGATTGGTGATAAACAGAATTCGATCTATCCTATAATAATATCTACTAAGATTGGTGATAAACAGAATTCGATCTATTCTATAATAAAGAATAGGCAGTGGGAGGAGGGATGACTGAGAAGTACTCAGTACTCGTGAGGATTTGAAAGTCTCACTAAGGCTTCCCCCAGGGAGCCAGCACTAAGTGTGCTGGTCTAAGATCCCCTGTGCCTTTTAGAGCTCTTAATACTCACACATGGACCCCACTTGATAGTCTACATCCCCAAGCTCTGTGAGTTCCTTGAAGCTAAGGAACAAGTCTGTTTCATCAATGTCCAGAAAGATACCTGGTATAAAGTAAATAGATATCCGCCGGGCGGTGGTGGCACATGCCTTTAATCCCAGCACTCAGGAGGCAGAGGCAGGAGGATCTCTGTGAGTTCGAGGCCAGGCTGGACCAACAGCCTCCAAAACAATACAGAGAAACCCTGTCTCGTAAATATGAAAAAAAAGTAAATAGATATCTGCTGGATGTCTATACACACAGTAATAATAGTTAAAGATCCGTTGTATCACAGAGAAGCAAGTGGAGATCACCAGGATGACCCTAGAGTTGCTCAGTAAATTAAAAATCTCCACCAGTTATTCTGGCAAATGTTCCAGCAGGAAAAAGTAACCTAGTTTGCATAATAGGTTATCTAGTCATCATAGTAATTGAGTAATGCAATGAAAAGTTGATGTCCTATTTTTGAAAAATAAAAATGGGATGAAGTAAGCAGTCATTGCTTCAATCCTATATTTAAACTATTGCAAGCCCTGAGGTTAGGGAAACCAGAACCTCAGTTCAGTGTGGTAGACAGAACGAACTTTCCCTCTGAAAATTCAGCAGGAAATGTGGGGCAAAGGCTGTGAGGCACACACAGGAAGTGAGTTGCCAGCCCTAAGGAGGAATCTTGCTCCACCTTCACCCAAGAAAAATTCTCTGGGATCCTTCAACAGTAAATGGATGCTGTGAAAAGTGTTCTGAGATGATACTTGGATCAAAACAATTTACACATTGTTGCTTAGCCACAAAGGACAAAGGGCTGGGAAACCCAGTAAGTCAAAGACTGTTTGTTTATAGAATAAAAAATTCCAAATAAGAAACACAGAGTAGCAACAACAACCCTACTGAAAAGGAGACCCAAAGTCTAACAATTATTGCCCATCTTGTGAAGACTGTCATTCAATTACAATTATCAAGGAATCTTTTGGAAGAAAAAAAAAAGATAAGTGCTTGGCCCAGTCCCCATAACCCTGAATCAATGATCCTGGGATGGGTCTTGAACATCTGTGTCCAGGTTGTTCAATTCTATGTTCAGGGCTGGGAATCTCTGTCATGACTATGTTAATGATTCATTTTCCCAAAGGTCACAGAAGAGCCTCTCAGTAGATGGTGGCCATTGAATCTGTGTGCAACATTCTCGTTACAAGCAAGACTTGGATGAAACTATCTAAAACAACATAGCTTACATACAGATTTTAAATTGCTCATGTAAAGGGGCATCTCTCTTTTTCCCTCTTTCGGTACCTACAATGTTTATTTGTGTGATATTTTCCTTAATAATTTTAAGATAAATCCTAGTTTTTCAGTCTCATTCAAAAATCAAGAAGATGGGTCTTGAGAGAATGTAGTCTATAGGGATTAAATGCATTAGTGATGAACTCGGATTACCAGTAATGCATTGTGGTGCATTCAGGAAAGAAATAAGGGCTCTTCCCCTTTGAGCCATTTAATCAAAGGGAGTTCAGATTTGAATTCTCTACTTCATGCTCTCTGTCTTCTGTCTTCTGTCCTCTGTCCTCTGTCTGACTGTTGTATGAGTCTTAATCTGCACCTGCCTGACCACTGTCTGCACTGTCTGGTGAATCTGTGTGTGTGTGTGTGTGTGTGTGTGTGTGTGTGTGTGTGTGTGTTTCTGTGTGTGTGTGTGTCTGTCTGTCTGTCTGTCTGTCTGTCCCACACAAAAGGCTTCACTCTGTCTTTATTGAACAGTACAGAAAGTATCACATGGGAAGGAATGGGACGTTACAAAAGTGTTTGAGTTTTACAAGGTATTCTCACTGATCCCAACTGACCCAAATAATAAACATTGTTTATCAACTAATATTCATAAATGGATACATTCAACCTTTACGGAAGAGTGTAGAAAATTGCTTTCAATTTCTGTATCTACTGCTTTCAACAAATAAGGACAAGAAAAGCACTTAATATTTTTGTTGTTGATATATGTTTGCTTTTTGCTTTTCAAGACAGGGTTTTCTGTGTAACAGCTGTGGCTGTCCTGGAATTCACTTTGTAGACCACACTGGCCTTGAACTCGCAGATTTCCACCTGCCTCTGCCTTCTGAGTGCTGGGACTAGAGACAAGTACCAACACACCCTCCTAAAAAAAGCACACAATTCAAGGTTATAGCTGTGTATTAGCTTAGGTTGTAAAAGTTAATTGCATGGGAAATCCAAGGCAAGTTAGGTTGGTCGTTACATTGTTCTCTTAAAAGCAGGTTAAACAAACACACAGCAGGCTAACAGTTTTAAGTCTTAATTGACTTCCAGGTGTGTTGTTAACTTTGGCTGTGAGGTCCAGCAAAAGTTCCAGTCTCTTAGCATGTAAGAGACATTTTCAGAACAGTGCATCATCTCAGTAGTCAATATCCTCTGGAATGTCCCTCTAGGGGAGTACGATGTCTCTCTTTAATTCGTTGGAAATTTCATCTCTATTTCCATGCTGTTAAACCCTCTGTTAAAAATGCTTCCTATTCACCTCAGTGTTCTTTTTTGAGACTTTCTGGTTTTGCTATCTTGAGTAAGGCATTTACTCATATACTTATTTACGTATTTGCTGAGCATATGTTTACTGAGTCTGCTTAATGCTAAGACCTATAAGGGGATCATAATTCAGTGGTGAAAAGCAGACACAAACCTCCGCATCAAATAACTTACAGTTAAATAATAAGACATAAGTCAAAGGTACCCAGATAATGAGGGAGACGAGCTGTGATTATCCACGAAAGATACGCTCATAGTGCTGTGAAAGTATACAGTAGTAACTTTAGCCTCTTCTGGAAGCTGGTAGAAAGTTTCTGCAGAAAGTGACATTTGAGGCCTGCAGGGGAATGGAACATAAAGTATTGGGACACTTTAGACATGCTGGGATTTGGGGGAAAATGTTGTTAGAGACTACACATGTGGTTTGTGTATGGTCCATGATTTGGAAAAGGCCTTAACAAAGAAATTATTTATTAAAAAAAAGTATGCTTGAAATCCAGGTGTGGTGGCACATGTTTATGAATCCCAGCACCCTGGAGGTAGAAATGTATGGATATCTGGGTACAGCTGACCAGCCGGCTTAGTCTGCTTAGGCGTCCTATCCCAATGAGAGACCCTGTCTGTGAAAACAATGTAGATGGCATCCTGAGTTATCACACATGCACGCACACGCATGCACACACGCACGCACACACACACACACTCGTTCACCTGCATACACATGCACCTACACACACATGAACACATGCCTAGATGCACATAAAAATAGTGTGCTTATGTCACAGACACTTACTGTAGCACCTCTCACGATACTGAAATTGTGGAACCAACCTGGGTGTCCATCAATAGGAACAGGTAAGATGATGTGGCTTGTAGATGCAGTGGAATTTGTTTCTGCCAAGAATGCAAGGTTAAGGCAACTGAAGACCACCTTGCTAAGTGAATTAAGGCAGCCTCAGGAAGATACATATTGCGAGTGTTCTTTCATTTATAGGTTCTAGACTTTCTAGTTACATGAAGTCACATATACACAGGTGACATGAAAGCAGGAGCAATGCTGTCCAGGGGGACAGACAAACGGATGGGAAAGGGGTGGAGTGAGAGGAGAGAGAGCCATGGAATACAGGAGGATATGCTGAGAGCACATTACATACTTGAATTGTGATGGCCTGTGTACAACAATATGATAAAATAAAAACAGAATGCTTGGGGTCCATTGCTAACTTTCTACTTTGTCTTATTTTTTATAATGTACAGCTATTTATCTATAGATGCAACTCTGCAGCGGCTGGAACCACACTCTTTCTACAATTTGAGTAAAATGACTCACATGTAAGTACAAGGAAAAGTCAGAATAGCACCAAACCACAGCCACCATTAAAAATATTCTTTTACATTTGTTCATTTTATTTTTGCGGTGTCTGGTTGCCAAAATATGCATGCATAGGTCAGAAGACAACTTGCAGATGTCCGTTCTTTCCTTTCACCACGTGGGTTTGGGGGAATAGAACTCAGGTCATCAGACTTGGTAGCAAGTGCCCTTATAGGCTGAGCTATCTCACCAAACCCACAAAGAAAGTTCTTGAGAATTTGTCAGCATTAGACTCAAAGTAAAAGCACTGCTACAGGGAATGATTAGGAAAAAGAAAGACAACCCCATACAGTCATATATTCTGTACAGAAGAAAATGAACAGCAGCAAATGGGGTAGATATAGATAGATTTTGACTATACTAAGTAAAACATAGTGGAATTGAAAATACAGACAACCCATGCTCCATGCAGTAGCCTGGAATCCTAAAAATGTGCTAACTGGAACTGGGAAAAAAAAAACAACTCAGCTATTAATGAGAAAAGCCTGAGTATTTTGTGACATTTAAAATGTTTGTCAAAACATTAAAATTTGTCGTACTATTGCAAACAGAAGAAAAGATAGTAAATCTAATATTTCTTTAATGCACAATTTCAAGTATCATAAATATTTAGAATTACAGTATTTTGTTGGGTTGTAAAAGCTTATTAAGAAGTTAATCTGAGCCAGGCGTTGATGGTGCACGCCTTTAATCCCAGCACTCGGGAGGCAGAGGTAGGCAGATCTCTGAAGGCTAGGCTAGACAGACAGCCTCCAAAATAATACAGAGAAACCCTGTCTCATAAAAACAAAACAAAACAAAAAGAAGTTTAAACTGTCCTTGTCCATTTCTGCCTTTGTTACACGAGTTACAAGAAGGCATCTTTCTAATGTCTTGGCAAATTCTAGATCCGGATGTGAACATTCTTTCTTTTGATGTAATAAACTATCTCCAAGAATGTCTTTAATGTGGTTTGGTTTGGTTTTTGAGGAGATTGGTAGAGGTTGGAAGGTTTTCGATGGTTGTTATAGTTTGGTTCGGTTTGGTTTGGCTTAGGGTTTTGAGACCAAGTTTCATTTTGTAACCCAACCTAACCTCAAATTTATAACAGTCCTCCTACCTCACTCTCCTAAATGTTGAGATTACAGGCATAAACCACCATGCCTTGCTTTTTGAGGTAGCATGGAGGGTTGAAATAGGGTTTCACTATGTAATCCAGGTTGGTTGAGAACTATGTACTGCAGGCTGGCCTTGAACATATGTTCCTCCTATATTAGCCTGGGATTACAGCCATGTACCACAGCTAGGCCCTGTATTTTCATCTTGTTCATCAATTCTCTCTTTCAATTAACTAATGTCATACCAATCTGTTACTAAGAAACTCATAGGCAACACACTGTATTCTTTTTTGTGAGTAAACTGAATTGTGATGACAATTACCAGTGACTGAAACAGGGAAGTGATTGGTCACCTACTATGATTTCCGTCTGTTATCTCCTCAGTGATGGGCGTGGTGAAGATCTGGTAGCAAAGCTTGTACTTATTTCTGTTATTCAGCTACCATCCTGTGACAACTACATTTGAACTGTTACTAGGGCTAGTTGTTGAACTATGTCACAGTAGCCCATCCTTATCCATACAAGCCCAATGCAAAACAAGGAATGCCTCTATACATAGAAATAGAATACACAGTATCAAAAAAAAAAGAACAGGGATGTTATGAATGGTGTTAAAGTGTTCTAGAGTCTTCAGATTATCTGAGAAGTGTCTACCCTAGTTGCTTCTCTGTTGCTGTGATAAAACACTAGCCAAAATCAGCTCAGGAGAGGATAGGGTTTATTTGTCTTACAGGTACATCACTGAAGGATACTAAGGCAGGATCCTGGAGGCAGGAACAGGAACCACAGATGGATACTGCTTTCTAGCTCATTCTCCATGGCTTGCTCACCTACCTTTCCTACACAGCCCAGGTCCACCTGCAGAGGGATGGCCCTGTTTACAGGGCAGGGACCCTCCAGTTAAGAAAATGCCCCAAACACACCCACAGGCAAATCTGATGGAGGCCATTCCTCAGTCAAGATTCCCTCTTCCCAAATATGTCTAGGTTTGTGTCAGGTTGACAAAAACTAGCCAGCATAATTACAAAAGTTCCAATTTTGTATCGGACTTTTATAAACCGTGAATAAAGTTAGAATCCATGGGAAAGAGACTCAAGCAATTGTAGAAGACTGGATAACCAACAAGCTGATAGTTGGAGGCATGAAAGAGTTAACTGATGAATGTTTTAAAAGGCAAGAAATGCAAAGAGTTATCTGAGCAAATATTAATTCAATACCAAATAATCATCGTGTTACATGTAAAATAATAGGAATAACAATACCAACTCAAGTCTAATTAAAAGACAAAGATTTCCATACTGTGCAACTTTAAAATTCTGTGTATACTGCTTTCAAGAGGCATATTTAAATGCAATATAAAGGGGTTGAAAGTTGATCTACATCCCTGAATGACTAAGGTGGGAAAAACGTAGAACAATAAAGGCAATCGGTAACTAGGAGTGGCTTAATAGCACAGGGGTCTATGCCTTCATTTCTCCACCTTTGGCTCCTCTGTCCCCTCCTTAGCCTTTCTCTCCTCTGCTGCTGTCCCATAGTGTTCATTCAGTTCTCGAGGACACATGTCTGCCAACTTGTCTTAAGCAAGCAAGCCACTTTCTCTGTGCCTGGTCTCACTAAGATTACCAAGAATTCTCCAGAACACTCTAGAACCTAGACTAGATGCATTTAGCACATGCTTAATTATTGATCTAAACACTAACGTTAATGTTACACTTTCATCTAAGCGTGTGTTTTATTTGAAATGAAGGGGAAACAGGCAATGATTTCTTAGTTTAGGTATCTTTTGTTCTGGTGATGATTTTCCTGAAATATTATCCAGAGGAGGAGGAACAATGGTGGGAGGAGGAAGAAGGAGGAAGAAGAAAGAGAAAAGGAGATGGAGAAGCAAGAGGAGAGAGTGGATGAACCAGAGGCCAGCATGGACTCCATGCAGTCCCTTGGGCATCCAGGCCACTGAAAGCAAGGCCATGCCCAGATGTCCTCCAAACTCAACCTGCAGGGCTTGTCCACTCCACCCTGCTGTGCTGGACCCAGTTGTATGTCTTCTTTAGCGTCCTGGCTTTCTTGAAGTATAGGTAGTTTCCTGCATTCTTGGACTGTAATCGCTAGCTTCCAAATTGTTTGATTCAAATCCACCCTCACAGGCATGCTGGGATCTCATCCCAATCTGGACTTTCACTGTATCCGGTGAGAGGCTCTTAGTGCTTACCGTCTGCTCTCCTTCCCTTCTGTCTGTCAAGGGCTGTGCTGGTTGTACTTTACAGTAGCATTTGTTTAACCTCTTTTGTGTTTCCCCTTACGCCTCGCAGCCCCCTCCCTGACTCCTCTCTTCTCTAGACTGTCACTTGGCAACCTTACTTCCCTGAATGGCCCATTGCCCTTTTGTGCACTGCTGCTGATGCTTGCTCACATGGGTTGTACTACCTTTCATTGTGACACTCTCTGGTGCCATTCATTCAATGTCATGTTTTCAAATAATTGCCTTTTATAAAGCAACTTTCTAGGCTACAAACCATACCTGGACAATTTTCAAACTTTCCCGTTTCCCATTTGTTTGTCTTTGGTAACAACACAAGCCCTCCTCCCCAAAAGCTAAACTATGGCAAGTCTGCCACTTGTCTTAGAAAAAGAAAGAGAAAACTACCTTGTCTAAGGCAGGATTGTCATTGGAAGGTGGAACAGAGTGGCAAAGACACATGTCTTTTAGTTTTAAAACTATGATAAATATGAAGGCTAGTAGGGTCGTGATTGGGTAGGAATCATAATTTATTATATCTTTGTTTTTGTTTTTTTAAGACAGGGTTTCTTTGTGTTAACAGTCCTAACTGGAACTAGATCTGTAGACCAGGTTGGCCTTGAACTCACAGAGATCCCCCTGCTTCTATCTCCCAAGTGCTCTAATTAAAAACATGTACCGCCACCACCCGGATTAATTTAATACTAGGTTAGTGGACACAGCTAAGACCTTTGGAATATAAATGGTTAGCACTTACACTTTAAATGTTTATTGGCCTTTTTTTGCAGAATATCCCAGTAGAGACTATTAAATTATTTGCCTAAAACAATGAATATAATAGACCAATAAGGCCATGTTCTTACAAACAATAAGATATACATTGTGGAGAGTTTCTGTTCTCAAGCTCCTTGCTCTTCCTTTCAAGGTGTGTGTGTTTCTCAGTCATTGTCTTTACAACACAATTTTCAAATGTTGTTTGTAAGGACATTGCAAAACCTTTGTCCCTAAGACTACCTGTGAAAATAACCATAATAAAAAACATTATTTTTAGACAGCTTTCAACTGTAGGAGACATCCAATACCTCACAAGAGCCTGTTGAAAAAGGAAGTGCTCTTGTCTTCCCTATAGGAAACTATGACTCAAAGAGACCAAGGACCTTATATCCAAAGTTACACGGCCAGAAATGGCAGAGTCAAGATTCTACCACAAGTCTGGCTATTCAACAATAAGAGGAGCACACTGCAGATCTGTTTTACAATGTGTATGAACCTCATCTTATAGACATCAGGCTAAGTGAGAGAAGTAAAACACAACAAGTCCCTTTTGCATCCTTTTATAGGAAAAGTCTACAGAAGACAAAGTTGTAGCAATATTTTAGAGCAGGGTCTGAGATGTAACTCGGTGGTCTTGCAAGTACTTAGCAGGCACAGAGCTTGGGTTTGATCCCAAGCACTAAGAAAGGTGGGGAAGGAGGGGAGGAGACGGAAGGAGAGGGAAAGGAGATCCGGCAGAAAGGAGGAAGTTGAGATAAACTAAAAAATATTCCACATGATATTTTTGTCATTGATGGTAATGTGTGTTCTAAAACACTTGACCCTTTTTGCAAAGTTGTCAGGTGTCATGATTTACTAACTTCCCACTCTAGTGCTCATTGCCATGGCAACATCACTGGCTCTTGTATTAAATAAAGATGTCTGTCCTCAGCTGCTTGTCAAACCACTGGAGGGGTTTTCTTTTCTACCAAAATCTAAAAAGAAAGTGGAGAAGATAAGAAACATAAACAACTAACAAACAAAGCTTTGAGACTACAGTGAAGAGAAAGGTAATCTATACATCCAAATTGACTGGGACCAAGCCCATGAGGGCACTCAAGTCCAGGGAGGAACCAGGAATCTGCGGCTGATGACATATATAGTTCCCTGTCCCACCATATAAATCTATCCTCGGTTTTTCAGAATCTTTTGTTAAACTTGATTTATCTTTAACAAAAACAGGAAGGGATGCATTTTACTAACAGTGCTCTTGTAACTCTTGTAGAGAAATCCGGAACACCAGAAGTCTAACCTATATAGACCCTGATGCCCTAACAGAGCTCCCCTTGCTCAAGTTCCTGTAAGTGTTGACTCATTCCTTATCATTGTATGTGGGTGGGAGGTGGATGGGGATGGGGGTATAGGGATGTGGGGGTGTGGGTATGTTTTAGAGCTGTAATGCTGTTGCCTGTCAAGAACCTCCCTAAGATGATATTATCTAACATCAGTTTAATGGTGTATGGCACAGTTAGATCATTTCTTGTGACTTTTCATCCTTCCCCCTTGGGCAAAGTACCAGGTGAAACAGCTCACGTGTTTAAAGCCTATCTCAAAAAATCAGCACACAGTTCTGGGACCAGAGACCTGCTGGACCAGAGACACGAGAAAGAAACCAATAAACTATATGCATAGTCTTTAAGTGTGGATAAAACAAACCAAAATACCAAGAGCCAACTGGTCAATTTTGTTTAGAAGCAACAATTTTATATTTACTGACAAAAGCAATATTAGAAATTTCAAAAAGCAGAACCTCAGTACAGAAGTGACACACTTCTGCTTGGCTTTGGCTTTGGCAATGACAATGACTTATGAGCTGGCTATAAACTTCATCAGGGCAGGGGGCATTTTGGTTCTCTTTAATCCTTGCTGCCTATCACACAGTGGGTACTCAAGAAAAATATCTTAAATGGATGTGAGGATTTGACCCAAGGCCCTCAAGATGCTAGCTGGAAGGACCTTCTTTCCTATTTAAAGGAAATTTTAAAAATTAGAAAACATAAGAGTATAATGAAAATAAAAATCAACCTTAATCCCTGTGTCTAGAAATAATCACTATTTCATTAATTCATTCAAATCCAGACTTGTAAAATAAAAGTATGTCTCACAGATATTTCAGGAGGTAAGTCTTTAAGGATGGATAGAAGTTATTCAGGAAATATAGGGACAGTATTAGGAGGGGCATGAGAGGGTAGGGTACCATGATAAAGACCGAAGCATGAAACCACATGGTGTACTTGGGAGAACTGGAAACAGTCCCAGGTTGAAGGAATGGGAGTGGGAGATCCCAGGAGTAATGGTATGTGTGACTTAAAGGTATCTTGTGGGACAAAGCAGTCAATCCTTTTATGGACTTGCTTTCAACTAAGTGGATGGTCAATCAGATAATTAGGGAAGACATCGAAGAAGAAAAGGACTCTGTTTAGTGGGTTTTGGAGAGCAGAGAGGTCATGGTTCAAGTCTCACTAATCTTACATTTATGGCCTCTACTGAACTCTCTGGCCTTTTTGTCCTACTCTTTTTCATGAACCCCCAACTACCATTGATCTATTGCCATATTTCATACACACCAATGGAATAGCGTTTCTCCTTCTGGATTATCTCATTTATTCATTTATTAGTTCTCTGGCTCGGACTGCCTCTTCAATCCAATGTGCTTCTCTCTAGAAGGAGTCAAGACTGAATTGCCTTTAACATGTATCAGAACTTGAGTTGTTTTGCACTAGAAGAGCTGGGTAGGGTCTAGATCTCCCCTTCTCCATACCAAGCCTTTCAAAACATACCCTGTCTCCACTAAATATGTTCTAGTGGCTGAGAAAAGTGTCACAGGAATTAAATCCTGGAGGATTTTGCACATCTCTTAATCTTGACACATTTTTCCTTTGATGGCATGAATTTTGGAAGGAGAAGCTATTGTCTTTCAAATTAGTCTTCCTGTCTGAGCACGTTTAAAAGATACTACTGTATACTCACAAGTCACTACTGCAAAAAAAAAAGTAATTCTTAGCAAAACAATAATGTAAAAGGATGTTGATTTGGGGCATATGTAGAGGACAGGGTCTCTCTACTTAATCCTGGCTGTCCTGGAACTCACTATGTAGACCAGGCTGGCCTCAAATTCATGGAAAGCCTTCTGCCTCTGCCTCCTGGATACTGGGATTAAGGCATGGACCACCATACCACAGTGTCGAATTGAAAACAGGAAAGTTGACTTGCAGTCATGTGTTCTTCCTCCATTGGCCTTTTACAGCCCATCCCCCAACATACTCACCCAATGTCTTCCAATTAAAACAGGGAAATCTCTCCCGCCCCTCCCCTCCCTCTCCTTCTCTGTCTCCTCTTCTCTTCTCTTCTCCCTTATCCTTCCCTCTATTTCTAGGAATCTCACTGGGATCAAATAATGCACAGAGAATTCTAAGCAGGGCATAGGTATCACTACTATTAACTGGATTAAATTATCATGCTTTGAAGAAATATCATTGCGGGACTAACACCACAGTCATGAGGTATTGGAAGACTTGGGATTTACCTCATAAACTCATGATTTTGGCCATTACTGTATACTTCCTAGGTGTTGGTTTTCTTGCCTAAACTTTCATTTCTTCTTGTTTTAATATAGAGGCATTTTCAATACTGGACTTAGAATATTCCCTGACCTGACAAAAATTTATTCCACTGATGTATTCTTTATACTGTAAGTACACTCAACATGCATATTTGGTATATTTTGTTTGCCCCTGACAACTGGGGTGCAGTTATGGGAACTGGTAGGAGCCAGGAAAAGCAATGGATTCCAAGAGAAAGCAGAAAGCAGAGTAACTATGCTTAAGGATGGAGTGAGACACGAGAGGGGAATGGCTACTGAGTTTACAAACTGTGGGCCGCTGGTGACTCTGATAAAAATGTCTTTGGTAGGACGATGGGGGTAGGAAGCTGGGTTCGAATGGGTTTGTGCTGGTTAACTTCATGTCAGCTTGACACAAACTAAAGTCATCCTCCAGGAGAGAACCTCAATTAAGAAAATGCCTCGATAAGATTGGCCTGTAGGCAGGCTTGTGAGGCATTGTTAAAATTAGTGATTGTGGGGAGGGCCCAGACCACTGTGGGTGGTACCATCTCTGGGCTGGTGATTCCAGGTTGTATAAGAAAGCAGGTTGAGCAAGCCATGAGGAGCAAGCCAGTAAGCAGCACCACCCCATGGCCTCTGCATCAGCTCCTGCCTCCAGGGTACTGCCCTGTTGGAGTTCCTATCCTGACTTCCTTTGACGATGAACTGTGACATGGAAGCATGAGCTGAATAAACCTTTTCCTCCCCAAGTTACTTTGGTCATGGTGGTTCATGACAACAGTAGTAACCCTAACTAAGACAGAGTTCAAGAGAGACTTTTGGGAGAGAATTGCAGAGAGGAAAGAAAGCCAACTCTTCAGGTTTACACTGGTTCTAATTTCATGTCTCTTGTCAAAAGACAACTGTGGTGAGGGGGCCAGAGAGATGGCTCTGAGGTTAAGAGCTCAAGTCCTCTTTTAGAGGACCTGGCTTCAATCCTCAGCACCCACATGGCAGCTCACAGCGGTTTGTAACTCCAGTTCCAGGGAATTCTATACCGTTTTCTGACTTCCATGGGTGCAAGGCACACATACTGGGGAGGAGACTGTTAGTTTGCCTACAGTTCCGAGTTACTAGCCATAATTTCAGTCAAGCAGCTGACCACCTCCCACCCATAGTCAAGAGCAAAGAGACAATAAATACTCCCTGGCCTCCTTGCGACCCAGTGAGCTTCCTCTACTCCTATAGGATTGGGAATTCAGTCCACGAAACGGTACCACCTGCGTTCAGTGAGGGTCTTCCAGCCTCAGTTAAGCAGGATAATCCCTAGCCTTTCTTTTTCATGTTTTACACTTTTGCGTTCAGTGTGTATGTGTCTTGATGCGATGTGGGGTTAGAAGACAACAGAAGGAGTTGGTTCTCTCCTACAGTGTAGGTTCTCAGAGTCACACCACAGCAGCGAGTGCCTTTACCCACAGAGCTGTCTCAAGGCCCCCCACCCACATCCAATTGTTTTAGTGGGAAAAAATGATCAAAATTTCCAAGGGGAATGGCTGAATGAGGGAGGGGCTTACTGATAACAGTGGATACCTTATTTTTCATATTTCCTGACAGCTTTTCACTTTCCCATGCTAATGTTATAATTGCTTCAGTCAAGGTATAAGGGGAAGTTTCGGTTTTTCTTTCAACAATGAAGCAGAGGACTAGAAAATCCAAATGAGTGTGTGATCTGAGGCCCACAGAGCAGTCAGGCATGCTTTTGATTGGCTGTTTTGCTTTTTTGTTTTGGTTTGGTTTTTTTCCCAAAAGCTGGGACATAAACCAGCTGTCTTACCTAATCATGCAAATGAAAAAGGATGTATGCAGGAGAACTGTGAAGGTTGAATTTGCACTGAATAGTCAGCAAAGTATAGAATGATTAGCTGCACTCTCTCTCCCAGTTTTTCTTCAAGATAAGGTTTTTCTGTGTAGCTCTGGTCATCCTAGGCTCACTCTGTTGAGCAGGCTGGCCTCTAACTCAGAGATTCACCTGCCTCTGCCTCTTAGAGGCTGTGAGTAAAGGTGTGTGCCACCACAGCCTGGCAGGCTGCAAACTCTCAATATTTTTTCCAGGAAAACTAAATGAGCCATGTTTCTTGACTACAGATAAACTCTGTTTAAACATAAGCAGTCCTCTGGGAGCACCTGCCCGGCAGCATTTTGCAAATAGAGGACATTCTAAAGATACTCGTGAAATGAAATCCATTGAGCCCTTCCCTTTCCCCTGATCCTTGTATTGACATAGAGAATTCTAGTTGCTATGGACACCGTGTTAGAGATTCAGAAGTCTCCAGCCTCCATCTGCTCCGAGATAACGAGTAAGGCAGAGACTTCAGCTCACACCAGAACTTGTTTGTTTGGTGCACACTTGACTCCAGATGGGTATCCACTTAGAGCAGCTCTCATCACTGACTGGAAGTCAGTCAAAGAAACGGCTGAAACAGATGCATTGTGGCCAGTTGTCATAGTATGCACACATGCAACAAGAACCCATTCCCAGCGTTCTTCTCTCAACCGTTTGCATCCTTTTCTCTTGCAGCGAAATCACAGACAACCCTTATATGACTTCAGTCCCTGAAAATGCATTTCAGGGACTGTGCAATGAAACCTTGACCCTGTGAGTATTTCCAGTTTCACTCTTACCAGCTGTTTTATCTGAGGCTATTGTCATGGTTTGCCCAGCTAAAAATGTGTCTGAGGTTCACAGAAGAATGCCACCTTATGATGTATGCTCTGTGTCTGGAAAGGTTTAGTGTAATTGAGTGTTGCCTTGTGGTGAAATATTCCGCAGACCACAGAGTGAGATAATAAGAACTGCATATTCTCTATGGCAGGGGGTTGGTCATTTGTTCCAAGAAGGGTCAGGTAAGCTGTACACCTTGCACTGCGTCGTAGCAACTGTCACTGCAAAGCAAAAGCAGCCAAACACATGCCTAAGTCAGGGGGCAAGTCCGTGTCACAATTAAGTCCCTTTATAGTAACAGAATGTGGATCAGATTTGGTCTGTAGGCTTTATGGTACATTATCCTATATGTAAATATCCCCATTCTATACAGGAGTAAATGTGACTTTCATAGAGTCACTGAATAGAGAGTAGTGTCACTGCGGGCTTTTTGTGTTCAGTACTTATACTGTCACTCAGAGATCACCAACTATGACGTAGCTCCTGTAACTGCTTGTTCAATAGAAAACAGTGCTTGTGTTCAGAACGTGACCTGCTCTTTGGTTGTCCTTAAGTAGATACTGAAGGATGGGGATGTAGCTCTGTTAGAATAGTGTTGGCCTGGTATGCACAAAGCCCTGGGTTCCATCATCAGTACCCTATAAACTGGGCATGGTGGCACATGCCTGAAATCCTAGCACCTGGGAAGTGGAGGCAGGAGAACCTGAGGTTCAAGATCATCCTTGACTGTATGACAAGTTCCAGACCCTGCTTCAAAACACAGAAATAAACCGAAGTAGATGCTAAATCAAGGATAGCAATAAAACATTCTGATGGGAAAGATCTGCTGAGAGAAGACAAGTTAATTCTTAGAAATCTCTCCTGTCATAGTGTTAGCCACAAGGTAGCTAGGGCCATGCCTGTAGACCCCTCTCCCTGTTTTACTACCTACCCCACTCGATGCTACTGGTTTATGTTTGTGTGGCTGGTCTTGTGTTTACCTACACGGCCCCCTGAATTCCCTACTGTGTTCACACTAAAATCTGGAGTCTTCGTTGGATGTGTATCTGATCTGCTTACTCCCTAGCCATATTGATCCAAGCTTCCACTTGGCTTTTCGCAGGGACCCTCCTTTCCAAACCTCTAGAAAACAGGGATGGTAACATTTCACACCAGTTCCTGGGAACAGAGGCTAAAAAAAATAGCTGCAGAAGCATAGCATGTTAAAATATTCGAAGTATTACCACAAAAGGGCATGATCTATCTACATCTATGCGGCTCAATTTAATTCCACCTATAACCATTAAGCATTTGGTTTGCCATAAGCTCTGAGGACAAATAGGGGGTTTTTGTTGTTTGTTTGTTTTAGAGAGAGAAGGCAAAATACCCTTTAATTTACAAATAACCATCTAGGCCAGGCGTTGGTGGCGCATGTCTTTAATCCCAGCACTTGGGAGGCAGAGGCAGGAAGATCTCTGTGAGTTCGAGGCCAGCCTGGTCTACAGAGCGAGTTCCAGGACAGCCTCCAAAAAAATACAGAGAAACTCTGTCTTGAAAAACCAAGAAAATAAATAAATAAATAAATAAATAAATAAATAAATATGTATTCAGATGAATCTTTTCTCAAGCAACCATCTTAAGAAATGGCTATCACTCCTCCAGTGCTGATGTGAGCTTAGCTGTCATCTGAAACCCTTCCCCTTAATATGTCCACATATTTTTTTTTAAATCCTATGGTCTGGAGAGATGGCTCAGCAATTAACAGTGCTTCCTGATCACAGAGGACCTGAGTTTGATTCCCAGCACCCACATAAGACAGCTCACAACTACCTGTAACTCAGCTCCAAGACATCCAGCACCCTCTTCTGGCCTGCATGAACACCTGCACACACATACACACACACACACACACACACACACACACACACACACACACACACGCACGCACACACACACGCACACGCACACACACACACCTCCCTAAAAAATGAAAAAAGATAAACCTTAAAAAAGAACTCCTTTGTTAACCTTTGTTTATGACTTTGCCTCAGCTTCTGAGGCAAGGCTGACTCACTGGCACCTCAGTCTGGAGAATGGAGTTTCAAACGCAGAAACATCCTATGTCCCAGACAAGGCCTACTGTGGGGCTTTTGTTGAGCAATGCATTCAGATGATGAGTGAAATTTTATGTACATTTCTGATACTAAAGATGTGAAGCCCAGCTGTTTGAAAAAGGAACAACACATATCCCACAGGCCATCTGCTTTATTTACTCATTTCTTGGGCTCTAGGGCTCCAATGACCCAGGGGCTTTCATATGGTAGGCAAGTACTCTTCCACTGAGCTACATGGCCTTTGATTTTCCTCTCTTTCTCTCTCTCTTTCCCCTGATTTTAGGAAACTGTACAACAATGGATTTACTTCAATTCAAGGACATGCTTTCAATGGAACAAAGCTGGATGCTGTGTAAGTTTAGGGTAACCTTGGAAACTGCCACCACTCCCCACATCTCACTCCCAGAGGGACCATTCCGAGGGTCTGAATTCTGTTGAGATCTATTTTAAGTATCTCAAGCTTTGAAAGTAATGCCAAAGGAACTTGACAAGGGCCATCTGAAGTGGACACTTAATGTTGGCCCCAGTTCTAAATCCCAAAGCTCTCATTCTCAATAAAATGGAGATACATGCTGTCACCATCAGTTATCTTGAGGTGTGTATGTGTGTATGTGTGTGTGTGTGTGTCCAAATATTCATCTGCTATTACCTGAAGTGAAAGAGTATTGTTGCATCCAAAGATGTTTTGAAAAAAACTACTCAATCTGTTTTGACATGCTTTTTCCTTTTTAAAAGATAAATGATACCCAAAACAAAACAACAACAAAATAAAAAAAACAGATTTACATTTTATTTGTCTTGCAACACCTTTTGTTTCTTTTTTTCTTTTTCTTTTTCTTTTTTTAATGTTTTTTGTTTTGTTTTATTTTGAGGCAGGATCTTATTACGTAACCCTGGCTGTCATGGAACTAGCTATGTAGACAAGACTAGCTTGAACTTATGGAGATCTGCTTGCATCTGTCACCCAAGTTCTGCAACTAAAGACATGCATCACTTGACATTGCAACACTTCATTTCTTTAGCAGATATATGTACACACACACACACACACACACACACACACACACACACAGAGTTTCTTTAGACAGGGTTTCTCTGTGTAACTACCATGGCTATGGTGGAATTCATTCATGTAGACCAGGCAGGCCTGGAACTCACTGAGATCCACCTGCCTCTGCCTCCCAAGAGCTGGCGTTATAGGTGTGTACCACCAACACCACATGGTGCAGTTACATGTTTTTCTTTTTTTTTTCTTTTTTGTTTGAGACAGGGTTTCTCTGTAGAGCCCTGGCTGTCACGGAACTATCTCAGATCATACTAGCATTGAACTCACAGAGATTCACCTTCCTCTGACTCCAGAGTGCTGGGGTTTAAGGCATGCACCACTACCACCTGGTTATATTTTTTAATTTCAAATTATCTAGTATTTCCTCCTGGAACTTAACTGCTCATTTCTTACAGTGATGTGTTACTTACTACTTTTTGTGACTCTATACTCCCCTTCCTTAAAACATTCCTACACAGTTGATCGTTGCAAAATCTGAAGGCCTTATGAGTCAAATGTGGGGTTTACTGCATTGCCTCTCAAATGTTATTTGACATGCAAACCATCTAAGGATCTTGTGAGATACATATTCTCATTCAGTAGACTTGGGCTGGGCTGTGGTATTGTGTATTTCTAACATACTGTCTCACAATATCAGTGCTGTAGCCCACAGACTACATTTTAGGTAAACTACCTGCACAACTACGTGTAGAGGGCCTGGGTGGAAAAGAGCACACATGGTGATTGAGTGTTTTGGGCTGTTATTTTGCAGGTTAAGCACTCGGTTCTGTGATGATTCCAATTTTACAAAATAAATAGTAACAAGTTCTGGATTTCTTCTGGTTAGGCAAGATTCTCTACATATTATTGGGGTGGAGTTTATTGGTTAATGGAAGCTTGTTTTTTTCCTACATGTAAGCGCTCGAGGTAAAAGATGCCATGTAAATCCAATGTGTAAATCCAATGTGTAAATCAAATGTGTATTCAATTGATGGTCATTATCAGGATCCTGGGAATTATCAGGATCCTTTGCTCCTTAGATGAAGGGAAACTAAGTCAAATTTTCGTAGTTAATATATTCATTTGTAGATTTTAATGAATGAATGAGGTGTGTGTGTGTGTGTGAGTGTGTGTGTGACCTTTGCTCCAGGCTTTTATTTGGATTCCAGAAATCAAACTCAGGTAGTCAAACTTGTATGAAAAGTGCTCTTAGCCTAGGCCATCCCTCTAGACTCTCACACCACATTTTTAACCTAGCTCAACCTTTACTGTGTTTTCAAACTAAGGAAAACATATTAATCTTCTATAACAATTATCCTAATAGGGTTCAGAGATTGAAATAGCACAATCTCTCTAGAACTATGTTTACATATCTCCAGGTTGTAGTTTAAATAATTTGTTATCCAAAAGAGCAATCACCTACTTCTTGCCAATGTACTGAAATTGTCAGGTCTGACCTCAATTACACCCATTGTTTTAGTGTAACTGAGTAATGTTATTGTAGCCAAATTGGACCAATCCCACACTGAGGACAAGCACTGAAGCCAAGCAGCAGTTCTGTCCTTAGATAGAAGTTTATGAGAATCATGGCAAGTGGGTGAAAGCTCATCACTCCGTGGTTTCACTGAGTGCCAAGCACATTGTCATCACTCAGATGACAGATCACTGACTATGAGTGTCCTTGCTCAAGAGAAGTTGAACTGCTCTCAATCCTAAATCCCATATTCTTTCTCTGGACCTGTCTGTTCTCTCTTTATCTGGTCTTCTAAAACTGAGTTGCATCCACACAGTATCTGGTTCTCTGAGATGAGTTCTCTATTGTTGGATCCTAATTATTCAGTTTCTATCTATCCGTAAATATTCAGACCAAAAACAAATACAACTTGGATGTGCTAAGGACTTACAGAGACAGTAATTATTATGAGCAGAAAAGTCAACACAAACAATGTGCTAATTAGCATCACACATGAGCTGATTAGAAGTAATTCACCACAACTTGGAGCCACTGGGGAAAAAAATGACGAAAGTAGAGAAGATTATGGGATTAAGGAGGCTGCTGTTTCTCATGGGGTAAGTATTTGAACAGCTTGGAGGATATGCTCCAGGGTTGGCTGTCCCTTTGTCTCCTACAGTCTTGAACTCTTTCACACCTGTTATGACTGTCGGTAAACAAGTGTCTCAATCTCTGCAACCAACAAGATTTCCACAGAGCAATCCAGCTTCAATTTAGACTAATGTAAGAGCTAGGCAGTGGGTTCTATCATTTTTTGAATAACAAGAGCCGTGTTAAAAAAAAATACGACTCCCCACAGAAGCGATCCCATGTGAAAGGCATAACATAACCAGGCACCAATTATGCAGGAATGAGCTGAAATCCAATCTTGGAACTGAAATGGATCCTTCAACAACTCAGAGAACAAAGTCCATGAGCAACAGTAAATTCACTCAGTACATCATACTCCTCTCTTTGACACTGACCACTTCTGTCCCTGAATACAACCTGTCCTATCTGTGAGTTATCCAGAGACAGGGCTTTCATTTCTTGTCAGACAAGTTTTTGCTGAATGGCTGCTGTGTTTCAAGAATGAATCCAGGCTCAGTGCTTAAGAGCACCAACTGCTCTTAATTGAACCCAGGTTCAATTCCCAGCATCTACATAAAAGCTCACAATTGGGCTGGAGAGATGGCTCAGTGGTTAAGAGCACTGGCTGTTCTTCCAGAGGACCCAAGTTCAATTCCCAACACCTACATGGCAACTCACAGCTGTCTGTAACTCCAGTTCCAGCAGATCTGGCATCCTCACAGAGACATATATGCAGGCAAAACATCAATGTGCATAAAGTAAAAATAAATAAAATAATTTTTTTAAAAGAAGCTTACAACTGTCTGTAATGCCAGATCCAGGGGAATCTGAATCCCTCTTTTGAACTCTGCAGGCACTACATACAAATAGTACAGAGACACACATGCAGGAAAAAAAAACCATTCAAACATATAAAATAAAAATAAATCTCAAAAAAGAAATTTTTAAAAAGTGAGTTCAAGCCAGATGATGGTGGTGTACACCTTTAATCCCAGCAGAGTCAGGCAGATCTCTGTGAGTTTGAGGCCAGCCTGGTCTACATAGTGAGTTCCAGGACAGCCAGAGCTACAGAGAAAAACAAACAAAAAAGTGAATCCAAGAACACACACATACAGACAGACACAGACACAGACACAGACACACACACACACACAGACACACACACACACACAGACACACACACACACACACACACACACACACACACACCAAGGCTGTCAATTAGATACTTTTCCCCAGCTCATCGTTCTCTTCATTTTCCTGACCTCGCTGTTCAGAGTAGAGATTCTCAAGTATTGAAATATGGAAAATTTGACAACTCTTTTCTAGGAAAAACTTAATTTCTTCACCAGGTTCAAAGAGGCAGAATCCGTGTAAACAATGAGGCGTCATTGCCCAGGCAGAATCTGCAGCATCTGTTTTACTTTGGAGGGAACTACCAAGGCTTTTTCTAGAAGTCCTTCACAGTATCACATTAGCAATGCTCACTTTTAGGACGACTCTCCTTTCGCCCTTCTGACAAGTCCTCCTAAATTTTGAACCTTCTTTGAGTTCATCTTCTATTATCAATCCGCACACAAGATAGTCATTGTCTGAAATAGGTTCCCATCTGGCTTACCAGGATTTGTGACTGCTTTTATCCAAGTCAGTGTATACAGCACAGACATGGGCTAAGCTGTTATCAAGGAACCAGTTTGAGGGGACTGACATACCCATATACACTAGCACGTGGCTAATGAGGTTAATGGAAGTACTTCCTTCCTGGATATTAAAGTTTCTGAATCTGTAAAACCTCACCCTTAGCTTCCGGTGAGAGCTGGAAGGAGAAATCAGAACCCAGAACTCAAAGCTAAAAGAGGCAGCCCAGAAAACGACCAGAAACTCTCAAGATGCGAGAGTAGGAGGACTCATGAGCCTGTCAGCCTGGGCTTTATAGGGAGACCCTGTCTCAAAATACCGACAGACTACTACAGGAAGAGTGGCACACTCATTTTTTAAGCATCTTATCATCTTCAGAGGTTAAGTAGCCAAACAACCATACTGTCTTTTGAGAACGGGGCCTCTGTCAGGCTGGTTCATCTCCGTTCACATTGGCTGCACCTCTGGCTGCATTCTTTCTCCCATTCTGGACTCTGGCTGCCTTCCCCGGTTTGAAACCGTCTGCAACATTTCTGGTAAAGTGCACTGCTTATCGACCAGTCTCCCTGTCCTCAGGGGTGTATTAAGTATCAGATGAAAACACTACAAAATTGGACAAGTGATAATTTAGCTTTACAATGATGTCTGATGATTAGAGCAAGCCCATTTTTTGCTCCCAATCATTGGAAATGAAGAGGAGGAAACAGAGGAGCTCAGTGGAGCTTACTTGATTTGGGGCAGCCTGGGAACAACATGTGACCTATAGCTACACTGGCCCGAGAATAAGGAAAGTGTTACAAGCTGGTATGACCACTATGCTCATCACAGTTGTTATAACGTGCTCATCAAGAGCTTCTCGAAAGTTGTTGTTTTCCCAAGGTGGGTCTTACTCACTCCAGCTACTACCAAACAAAAGATCATCATAAACATAATGGGTTTCTGACAGGATCAATGTGTGAACATTAGAGTTCTGTGACCCAAGCCTTATATGGCATTAACCTATTGGGAACATGAACCAATGCTTTGGCATCTTACTCAGGTAAGATACAGAAGACTGGTTTTTTTCTATGAGACTTCATAACACCCTCTGCTATAGATGGTATCTGGAATGCCCCCATCCCTGGCCTATGATTTAAAGTCTTGATATTCTCAACTTGGTGTTTGTGGGAAACAGTAGAACTTTTAAGAAGATTAGTAGGAGAAAGTTGGCTTACTGGAGACATTCCTTTGAATGGAATATGATACCAAGCCCTTCCTTTTCCTGTGTTATTGACTTCTCAGCCACCGTATCAAAAGCAGCCTCCTCTGCCTGGTGCTCCTGCCATGGTGAGCCATGGTGCTACCACAGACTCGAAAATAGTGGAATCAACTCATCTCCATGACTGTGAACGGAAGTGATCCATTTCTCTTTCAACACTGATTGTATCCATCCTTTTGTTATAGCAGAGAGCTACCTAACATAGTCTGGAGGCTGGATGCTCAGCCACCACTTACAGAGGCCATTTGTAAACAAGCTGCCTCAGCATTCGCTGCCATGAGGAAGGTTCATTTCCCCAAAGCTACCATATCATATGCCAAGTCTTCTCTTATTTTTCATTATTTTTTTCCTTTAAGCAGTCACATGTGTCACCCTCAAAGTTTGAAAGTATCAATGTCACTCTCTTGAAGGAAAGATTACTTATTTGTTTGTGCATTCACAATTCTCACCCAATAAGTATTCATGGAGCACTGAACTCAGTAGTGGGTATACAGCAATGGATAAGGCACAGAACTTCCATTCTGGTTGAAAAGACATATTTTCCAGTAAGAAAATAACTAGGCTGGGAGGTGGTAGCACACGCCTTTAATCTGAGCACTCAAGAGGCAGAAGCAGGTGGATCTCTGTGAGTTCGAGGCCAGCCTAGTCTACAGAGTGAGTTCCAGGACAGTCAGGGCTACACGGAGAAAGCCTGTCTCGAAAAAGAAAAAAAAAAAAAGGAAGAAAGAAAGAGTAAATAAACGAGTTAATTCCAGGAGGAAGTGGAGACTATAGAGCAAAGTTGTACTATTTAGATGAAGAGTCCCTGTCCTCTATTTTAAAAAATAGTCGACAGAGCATCTCTCCATGTGAAGACTCTACGCCATATTCAAATGCATCAAATGCGGAAGGCCTGAACTCATTGCTAGTGCCTGTTTACTCCCTTAGCATGCCCAGAGCAAGGAGGATGACAAACTCTTGGGCACTGGTGGTCAATTGTTCTATTTTTACCCAGGCCTCTTCGGTAAAGACACACCTGGATCCAATTAACTACAGGGGCCTTTCTTTATGAATGCTCTGGAGAAGGAATTCTAATGGAAAGTCTTCATCGCTCTACTATTATTAGCCATCATCCTTAGGCTCTTCCGTCCTGTAGCTCAAAGCTCACTGATCCAATGCACGAAGCACTATCTATAATTAAGCAGACCTCCCAACAGTCCCCACAGAATTTATTTTGCATCAAGCCATGGTCACTCACTAGTGTAAATTGCCTACACTATGCTTCGAGTTCATGTAAATGTGTAAATTGGGGTCATTTATGACGAAGATGAATATGCTTAATTTCATTTTTAGATAATTTTATTCTCTATAAAAGCTATGGGGGTGGGAGGGAAGACCCACTTTCAAAAACCCTGGGTATTTTTGTTCATTTGTGAAAATTTTTATTTCAAAGTACTTTGTAACTTAAATTGCCTAAGAAATATTATCCTTTCAAATGGCCAATGTGTTGCAAAAAGGGGAAGATCAATATAGCCATCCCTTTTCACAAAAGGCACATGCTCTAATTTTATTTACCCAAATACCCCTACGCCAAAACTGGTGTTGTTGGATTAAAATGCATACCTTTCAATTAAATTTGAATTTCAGATAAGCAACAGATAAATTTGCATGGGAAATATTTACACTTGGAAATTATTCAGTGTGCTTATGTGTAATTTGAATTAAACTGACATCATGTATTTTAGTTTGCTAAATCTTGCAACTCCAGTCAAAGAAAAGAACTGGGTCTCTGGCCACCTCTACCACCCCCCACCACCCTTGCCATCTACATCCCAAGCCTTAGTTAAGTCCTAGCTTCAAAGATATATGGGAATAATGGTCAATTTTTGAAAAGCAAAATTTGAGTCAAAGCAGAAAAAACGATTGCCAGGAAATAGGAAATCTGGGTAACTTTGGTAAAAATGTAGATATGAAAACTAGACCCTAAACATAATTAATCTTCAAAGATTCCTGCCACAATGAAAGTTTGCTTTCCTGACACACAGAGTTGTGCTTAAGTCAGGAGAATGCAAAGTGTCTTTGAAATTAATGTGACCTTGGTTAGATTTTGACCTTCTTTAGATTTTATTTTGGTATTTATTCTAATGTTATGTGATGATTTGTTTGTCAAGTTCATATTCTCTCTCTCTCTCTCTCTCTCTCTCTCTCTCTCTCTCTCTCTCTCTCTCTCTCTCTCTCTCTCTCTCTCTCTCTCTCTCTCCCTCTAGTTACCTAAACAAGAATAAATTCCTGACAGCTATTGACAAAGATGCCTTTGGAGGAGTGTACAGTGGACCAACCTTGCTGTGAGTAAAACCCATGAATGACTAGTAGCTTTTTATCCATTTTTCTCTTTTACTTTTCTGGAATGAAAGAGGTGTGAAAAGAGGAGATGCCAACTGTCTTAGTTAGGGTTTCCACTGCTGTGAAGAGACCCTGTGACCACAGCAACTCTTATAAAGGGAAACACTTTGTTTGCAGCCGGCTAAAAGTTCAGAGGTTTAGTCCAGTATCATCTTCGAGGGAAGCATGGTAGAATACAGGCAAACATGGTGTTGACGAGTTCTATATGGATCTGAAGGCATCAGGCAGAGGGGGAAGGAGAGAGAGAGAGAGAGAGAGAGAGAGAGAGAGAGAGAGAGAGAGAGAGAGAGAGAGAGAGAGAGAGAGAGAGAGAGAGAGGATGAGAAGATGAGAGGATAAGTGGGTAGGGGTTTGTCCTTTAAAGGGGTCCTTGCACCTGTGTGCAGACTCGTTCTCGTGGAACTCTGGGCTGGCCAGAGTGCTGCCTGAATTAATCCTGCCTATTAGTGCCACTCCCTGTGAGCTTACAGGTGTAGTCGCTTTTGGGTTTTTTTGTTTTTGTTTTTATCTTTGCTCTTTGGGGGCCTGCCACCCAACTCCCAACTAAACACATGGAAACTTATTCTTATTTATGAACGCCTGGACTTAGCATGGCTTGTTTCTTGTCAGCTTTTCTAACTTAAATTATCCTGTTTCTCTTTAACTACATTTTGCCTCAAGGTTTTTTTTTTATCTGTATTGATTCTATATGTCTTTCTTCCCTTCTTACTCTGTGGCTGGTTGTGTGACTGAGTGACTAGCCCCTGGCATCCTCCTCTCCTCTACTCTCCTCTCCTCTCCTCCCCCTCCTCCTCCTCCTCCTCCTCTTCCTTTTCTCACTCCTCATTCTTCCTCTCTTGAGCCTAGATTTCTCCTCCCATTTATTCTCTCTGCCTGCCAGCCCCGCCTACCCCTCTCTATCCCTCTCTAGCTATTGGCTGCTCAGCTCTTTATTAGACCAATCAGGTGCTTTAGATAAGCAAAGTAACACAGCTTCATGGGGTTAAACAAACACAACATAAAAGAATGCAACACATCTTTACATCATTAAGCTAATATTCTGCAGTATAAACAAATGTAACACATCATAAGCTAATATTCCACAACATAGAGGGGCCATTTTCATTCAGACCACTACACCAACATTCAAGACAAGAGAAAGCTGTTATCTTGGGTTACAGCTTATGCCACTAAAAATCCACAAGGCAATTCACTAGAAGCAAGAGGAAACTATTTATGAAAATAGAAAAATTAAATTGTATTAACACGTATACAGATGACCATGAAAACAGGTAGACAGCAGCTATATCCCAAGAGGAGAGTGAATGATTGGCAGTCCTGAGCTCCTGGTACCTCCACTCGTTTGCCTCCAACGATTTTACTTCACCTTGGGAGTAAATGCACCCAGTTAAGCAAGCAGGTTGGTGGCCCAGTTTTCTTAAAATCTGCCCAACTCTATGGGAGTTTCTCCTAACTCATAGTGAAGCATAGACAGAAGAACATGCAAGAGATAACTGTTGCAGTCATGAACTCACACCAGTTATGGCTATCTGCGCTAAGTCTGCACCACAGTGGCCCAACAGTGGTCAAGATGGATACGGGAGGGGCTCAGGAGCTCAGCCCTCAGAGCGGAAAACAGGTTAGAGGCAGATTCCAAAGGACAGGGAATTATTTACTTTAGTTTTCTACACATTGGTGAGCCCACTATATTCCAGTAGATATCTCCAAACCCATGACTGGGTAGAAGCACAGTGTGTCACAAAATCAATAGAAGAGACATAAATCTGAAAAAGGGAAATGTAGGGAGGATAGGGAGGTTGGTAGGGATGGGAGGGAATAAAGGAAAATAAATAGAAAGCATTATGTTCATGTATGACATTGTCTTCGAATAGGCTTAATAAAAAATAATAATAAAACGAGGAGCAGTGCTGGTCTAGTTTGGGAGCACATAGAACTTTGGAGCACTCAGGAGACTAGCAAGAGGTCCATTTAATCCAAGATAAGTAAATAAGAAAGAGACAAAGACAGAAACAGCTCAGTTCCAAACAAAAAGCTATAGTTGGAGAACGATGAAATTCTAATAGACAGAGTAAACAGTCCAAATGCTAGATATGGCTTTGATTAAATAGGTCCTGAACCTACTAGGCAAGTAGAGCTATATGAGGAGGAACAGTGTGTGTGTGGTTAAAGGGTAATGGAAGGGTGTTACATTCATATTCTATAGAACAAAACCAGTCAATGAAATCTAAAACAAATACATGGAGAAATGTAGACAGTCATGGAAGAAAATAGCCAAAGTTGAAAGTGATCAACTTAGAGGTCTTAGAAACTAGACCCAAGATAGGGATTAGAGAGAAATCTGATGTTCAGGTTATAAAGTTTCCAGTGTTTTCATTTTCTTCTCAGGCAACAGGAGCACTGGAGAGATTTCTCTGGAGTTAGGAGTGCTTGCTGCACCAACATGGGAACCAGAGTTCAGACCACAGCTCTCATATAACTACTATAAGCAATGGCACAGTAATCACCAAGAGGTTTGCTCCATGATTTGATGGAAAGGTTTTTATTGTAGGTATGACAGAGAGGATGTCCAAATGCATCTGCCAAGAGTCCATAGTAGAGAGGAAAAGAAGCAAACTGGACAGGGCCAAGACTATCTATGAGAGAAGTGAGAATAGCAGAGGAGAGGGGGGAGGGGAAACCTTATTTTAAAGAGAGCAGGAAGTGAGCTATAATCTAGAAGGATAGTTTAGTGGTGAAGGAGAGGGGGTCAGGAGGCCAGCAGGGGCTTTGAGACGTATAACAAGTACAAGTGAATACAGACTGGAGCAGTCTGGACGTTACCATTGGCTTTAGAATGTGTTTGCCAGAGGAAGGAGACATAGGAAAATGGCTCTTCCTGGTGTTGGGGTACCCCAAATTAAAGAGGGGTCCCCAAACTGGATTCGTCACCCCAAGAATCTCCATGCGCCAATTGATGCAACAGGCAAGAGGCTGTAATTAGGCATCTGCAGATGGGCCTCTCGGTCAGCTTTTAGACCGATTGGCCCCGAGGTTCAGTTACAATCAGCTTTTAAAGACAAAAACCACAAGCTTTTGGGAGGGGTCCCTATCTTGTGACGGGGGGGGTATGTGACTACTGACCAGGGGAAGTAGATGTCTTCCTGACCTACACGTTGTAAATTCCTCAAACCTTGGTATAAGTTAATCATCTCTCCCTAAGTAAATGGTGGTTCCCACAAATCTTGTTTGCCCATCTCTGACGCCCTGGTCAGTTCTTCACAGGTGGTCAGCAGCCCGAAATTGGCCTTTTGTGGGTTTACAGCCCTTCTGCAATTAAGGTTGCTAAAACATACATTCCATTCTGTGGTTTGGCCAGTTCCTGGGATGGGGTCCTTTGTTCATTTCCCAAGTTCTCTAGTGTGGTGCCCTCCCTGTTTAAGCTTATATTTTATTTCTATAAATTCGGGGTCTTTCACTGGCAGAGAGAAACCCTCTTCACAGGTTCCTGAGGAATGCTGAGAGTATCCACCAGCAATCCTGTAGCCCAGTGTGGGCTGAGCCAAGACCACCATTTCTAGACATATGTGCTGCACTTTAGATTTTGATACCTAACAATAACCAGACAGGTGTGGTTCTATGCAGGCCTATAAACTGAGGGACGTAAGGACAAGAGCGTCACTTCCTCTTACCAGTTTTCAGTATAGATGAAAACAAACAAACAAACAAACAAAAACCTGTGAGCTCTAGATTCTGGGAGGGACCCTGCCTCAAAGGAACAAGGCAGAGAATAAAAGAGGAAGACACATGAAGGCATCCTCTAGTCTCTTGGAATACAGAGCTACATGCACCCATGTATCCCACACATAGATAAACACACATGCACGCACGTAAACTGCACTTACACAAATGTTCCCATTTGGTGGTTCAAGACAATTTATAACTCCACTTCCAGGGAGTCTGATGCTCTCTTCTAACTTCTGAGGGTACCAAGCACACACATGGTGCGCATACGTGCAGGCAGGCAAAACACCCATACACATAAAACAAAATAAATATTTTTTTAAATTTAAAGAAATAGCACTGAATGAAAACATGGAATAAAAGGAAGAGAAGTACTGTGAATTACTCTTTATGTATGCTGTGAAGACTTACCACTCGGATTGGTTGACTAAAAAGCTGAATGGCCAATGGCTACGCAGGATTTGGGGGGGGGGACAGAGAGGATGCTGGAAAGAAGGGCAGAGACGCGTAGAGTCACCAGTCAAATGGAGAGGAAGCAAATGGGCAGTGTAGAGTAAAGGTGATAAAGCCACGAGACAAAAGGTAGATTGGTAGACATGGGTCAACTTAAGATGGAAGAGCTGGCTAGAAACTTCCGTAATTAATAGTAAGCTTCTGTGTTGTGATTTGGGAGCTAGCAGGTGGGACAGTGGAAGACTAGCTACAAAGTATGGAGAAGAGTGTTATTGTAGATATAAAGGAGAAAGCAGGCAGAGGCAAGAGTCCAGGCTAACATGGCCAGCAGACTAAACCAGACCACGAGACGAGAGACAGGGAGGGAGAGCAAGAGAGGAGCCACCAACCGAGAGAGGTGGCCTGGGCCACAACAGCAGAGTAGCCAAAGTGGCTGAGTTACATAGGTATGAGGCTGAAGTTAGGGAGCAGAAGCCCATCGCCTGGGAAGGAGAGATTTGTGGTTGGGGGCAGAATGTGAGGAGTGCTGGGAGGAACCAAGGGTACTGAGTGAGACTTGTCCTGGCTTTGAGACCTAACAAATGCCATGCATTATATTAACAAAAATTTTTTTTTGTTTTTTCGAGACAGGGTTTCTCTGTGGCTATGGAGGCTGTCCTGGAACTAGCTCTTGTAGACTAGGCTGGCCTCGAACTTACAGAGATCTGCATGCCTCTGCCTCCTGAGTGCTGGGATTAAAGGTGTGTGCCACCACCACCCGGCCTTTTTT